TGGCTTCTCTTATGTTCTTATAGGAACTCTTGGTCTGGGGCAAGTGATGCTCTGTCTTCTTGGTGCTTGGGGGGGGTCAACAGTGGGAGGGCTTCTAGTGTCCTGGCCCCACTGCTGGACCTCCTGATGGCCCCTGGTATTTCTGGCCACTGTGTGACAGAGTGTTGGACTGGATGGGCCACTGGCCTGATCCAACATTGGCTTCTCTTATGTTCTTATATTCTTCTTACGATCTAGAGGAAATGAAGGTTGTGTTTGCCCCCGCAACCAGACTGGCTGCTACAAATCCGAGAAAGCAGCCGCCCCTCCCAGAGAATCTCGTAAAATGTATTTAGCGTGTTGGTTTGGATGTAAGACTGAGAGACCTCTTCTCTCCCCCCCCCCATTGTTTCTCTTTCTGGAAGGAGGGGACGTATGGCCTAAACTGCAGCGAGCGCTGTGACTGCAGCCACGCGGATGGGTGCGATCCGGTGACGGGCCATTGCTGCTGCCTCGCTGGGTGGACAGGTAAGGCGGCTGTTGGTCAGATTTCTAATCCTGTGGGCTAAGCCCCCCCCCCCGGATCCTGCTGATGGTTTCCTTGGCATTAGACCGGTTTTCTCCCATAAAGATCAGCGGCTTACAGGGGCTACTGTAAGCTCTTGGAGGATTGGCTACCTCAGGGGTGTGTGGCCTAATATGCAAAGGAGCTCCCGCTACAAAAAGAGCCCTGGGAGACGTAACCCTAATGTAGCCAATCCTCCAAGAGCTTACAGAGCTCTTCTTACAGGGGCTACTGTAAGCTCTTGGCGGATTGGCTACATCAGGGGTGTGTGGCCTAATATGCAAAGTAGTTCCCGCTACAAAAAGAGCCCTGCCTCAGCGCCATTTATTTTGCTCTCCGAGTATCCTCTGAAATACAATCGCCGTCTCTGGCTTGGGAAACTCCAGAAGATTTGGGGAAGGAACCTGGGAAGGGTGGTGGTGTTTGCGCTCCTCAGCAATGTGATTCCACTGAGCCCAGCAGCTGAAGCCGCCGTTTTATCCCAGGGAAACTGATCTCTGTATTCTGAAGATCGGTTGTAGTTTCGAGAGAACTCCAGGCCCCGCCTGGAGGTAGTGGTTAAGAGCAGTGGACCCTGAGGTGGAGAACTGGGTTTTTGTTTTGTTTTTTAATACTCTCTTTATTAAGTTTTATATTATACTGCCATAGACATTTTCAACCTTTTTTGGAGGTCTTATAAGTAAATTTCTCCCACCATTTGTACATTCTTAACCATTTCTTTTGAAATATTGCTTCTTCTTTTTCACGTAATATCATTGTTAATTTATCTAATTCTGCTACATCTAGTAATGTTTTAGCTATTTCCATTCTGGAAGGTAACTTATCTGTTTTCCAATATTTTGCTACCATAATTCTTGATGCTGTTAATATATATGTTAGTAAATATTTATCATTTTGGTCAAGGTTATCTGGGATAATATTTAACAGATATCTTTCTGGTACCAAAATTACACTTAAATCCATTATCTCCCATATCATCTGTAGAACCATTTTCCAAAATTTTTGCATATTGCCGCAATTCCACCACATATGTATAAATGTTCCTAGAGAACTGGGTTTGATTCCCCACTCCTCCACATGAAGCCGGCTGGGTGACCTTGGGCCAGTCACAGTTCTCTCGGAACTCTCTCAGCGCCATCGATCTCACAGGGTGGCTTTTTTGGGGAGAGGAAGGGAAAGGCAATTGTACACCACTTTGAGACACCTTAGGGGAGAGAAAAGTGGGGTATAAAAAGAAGAAGAAAAGAAGAGATTGGTCTTATACCCCGCCCTTCACTACCTGAAGGAGTCTCAGAGCGGCTTACAATCTCCTTTCCCTCCCCCCCCCCACAACAGACACCCTGTGAGGTAGGTGGGGGTCTGAGAGCTCTTTCCAGCACAGCTCTGAGAGAACATGTGACTGACCCAAGGTCACACCAGCTGCTGCATATGGAAGCGTGTGGAATCAAACCCGGCTGTCCCAGATTACAGTCCACACTCCTAACCACTACACCAAACTGGCTCTCAGATACTCCCTGGCAGCAAGTGTCACGATCACTGTTCCCTCTAAGCTGAGTTAGTGTGAGCTAGCTCAGTATTTTTAGCCTCCGGCTCACAGTTTTTTGTCTTAGCTCAAGAAGGAGGGCTCCAAACCGAACTAATTTAGGCAGCAGCCAAATCGCTGGCTCACAACTTTAATGCCCGTAGCTCAGAAAGCAGAATTGTTGCTCACAAGACTCCACAGCTTAGAAGGGAGCATTGGTCACGATTCTGGACTCCCTTGGGGGTCCCCATCCAAGTCCTAACCGGGCCCAACCCTGCTTAGCTTCCAAGACCTGGCAAGATCGGGCTAGGTCAGGAGTTGTCCAGCTTACAAGTGGACAGTTACTCGGATGCACTGTAGCATTCCCATTTTGCAGAGAGAAAACCGAGGCTGAGGCTTGCTTCAGGGTTGCCCGTGGCTGGAACGGGGGCCGGTTGGCCAGGAGACCTCGCCCCGATTGGGGCTCTCTTCAGTTCTGCAGCTGAGAGACTGATTTCCTGACGAGCCGGGCCAGCTTCTCAATTAAAGCTGTTCCACCGAAGACGAGTCCGCCGCCGCCAGTGTTTGTGGGGAAGTAGGCTGATTTCCTCCCAACCCGAGGTGAGGGAACAGTTGTGTCTGCGGAGGGGGCACCGACGAGGCTGACTTTAAAATGGGCCTCTGCCTCTGGGGTAGGGAGGCCTGGGACTGAATTACTGCTGCTCGGCGTCTTTTGGCGACTTCTCCCCGTTGCGCAGAACCGCTGTTGGAGGAGCAGAGCCTCCCCAGAAGACAGCGGGGTTGCCGGCAAAGCCAGCCGCATTCAAAAGGTGAGGTTTTTTTTATTATTAAGCATCACAGAAGTGAGAAAACAAGGAGGGGAGGGAAGGGAAGATGAGAGGAGAAGAAGTAGTTCCGTTGCCTAGTAACGGAATGCTTCCGTCGCTGTTTGCAGCAGGTGATTCGCGTGTGTCGTTGGAGAGACCCGCCAGGCCAGAAATTCTCCTGCCGGGCCTAGACAAGCACCCGGCCTCTGTTAGCCATAGACCCGTCCCGGAGAGGGTAACTGTGCATCATATCAAATACAGCCAAGTGTCTCGAGGTGCAAATGCACAGTCCTCGGCAGAGCAGACCCCAGATTCCCGTGGCTGATCTCTCCGGAGACAGGACTTCAAACGCGAGCTCTGTCACCGGCTGAACAGACAGCGCTCCATCTGTATTTCTGCCTCATCTTGTCCATCTTTGAAAAGGAAGGCTTGTTTCCCTGTTTCTTGTGGACAGTTACTCGGATGCACTGTAGCATTCCCATTTTGCAGAGAGAAAACCGAGGCTGAGGCTTGCTTCAGGGTTGCCCGTGGCTGGAACGGGGGCCGGTTGGCCAGGAGACCTCGCCCCGATTGGGGCTCTCTTCAGTTCTGCAGCTGAGAGACTGATTTCCTGACAAGCCGGGTCAGCTTCTCAATTAAAGCTGTGCCACCGAAGACGAGTCCGCCGCCGCCGCCAGTGTTTGTGGGGAAGTTGGCTGATTTCCTCCCAACCCGAGGCGAGGGAACAGTTGTGTCTGCGGAGGGGGCACCGAGGAGGCTGACTTTAAAATGGGCTCTGCCTCTGGGGTAGGGAGGCCTGGGCCTGAATTGCTGCTGCTGGGCGTCTTTTGGCGACTTCTCCCCGTTGCGCAGAACCGCTGTTGGAGGAGCAGAGCCTCCCCAGAAGACAGCGGGGTTGCCGGCAAAGCCAGCCACATTCAAAAGGTGAGGGTTTTTTTATTATTAAGCATCACAGAAGTGAGAAAACAAGGAGGGGCGGGAAGGGAAGATGAGAGGAGAAGTAGTAGTTCCGTTGCCTAGTAACGGAATGCTTCCGTCGCTGTTTGCAGCAGGTGATTCGTGTGTCGTTGGAGGGACCCGCCAGGCCAGAAATTCCCCTGCCAGGCCTAGACAAGCACCTGGCCTCTGTTAGCCATAGACCCATCCCAGAGAGGGTAACTGTGCATCATACCAAATACAGCCAAGTGTCTCAAGGTGCAAATGCACAGTCCTCAGCAGAACAGACCCCAGATTCCCGTGGCTGATCTCTTGGGAGACAGGACTTCAAACGCAGGCTCTGTCACCGGCTGAACAGACAGCGCTCCATCTGTATTTCTGCCTCATCTTGTCCATCTTTGAAAAGGAAGGCTTGTTTCCCTGTTTCTTGGGATCCCTGCAGCGCATGAAGGATGGCTGAAGAGAATGCCAAATGGAGGTGCAGGGAGCGCATTGCTCCTGCTGGGGATTGATGGGATTCATTATGCCCTGTGACCTCCTGAAGCTCCGTTGGGAGCAGTGCTTCGTCGCAGAGCCAGGCTTGGGGAGGGGCCGTGGCTCAGTGGCAGAGCGTCTGCTTGGCATGCAGAAGGTCCCAGGTTCAATCCCCGGCCTCTCCAGTTAAAAGGACTAGGCAAGTAGGTGATGTGAAAGATCTCTGCCTGAGACCCTGGAGAGCTGTAAAGAGGGGCCATGGCTCAGTGGCAGAGCATCTGCTTGGCATGCAGAAGGTCCCAGGTTCAATCCACGGCATCTCCAGTTAAAAAGACCAGGTAGGACAGGGTTGTCAAACAGAAGCCCCAGGGGCCGAAACGTGCCCATCCAGGGCTCTTATATGGCCCACAAACAACTAGTGTGAGGGAGGGAACAGTGGACTGCTTGGGGGGGGGAGTGGGCGGAGCCACTCCGATTGTGGCTTCAACATGGCGGAACAGCAGTCAAGCAACGGGGGAGCCCACCTTGCAGGGAGGCCTTGCAGTGAGGATACATCAACTCAAATCCACGGCATCTCCAGTTAAAAAGACCTGGTAGGACAGGGTTGTCAAACGGAAGGCCCAGGGGCCGGAACGTGCCCATCCAGGGCTCTTATATGGCCCGCAAACAACTAGTGTGAGGGAGGGAACAGGGGACTGCTCAGGGGGGGAGTGGGCGGAGCCACTCCGATTGTGGATTCAACATGACGGAACAGCAGTCAAGCAACGGGGGAACCCGCCTTGCAGTGAGGCCTTGCAGTGAGGATACATCAACTCGGTGACGCATATTTTTGAGCCCCAGGAGTGCACAGAGTTTGCCCCATGAGTGCCACGAAAATTTTTCATTCAACAAAACTTTAGTTAAAGGCTTCCCTACATATGGTTGCCAACCTCCAGGTGGGGCCTGGGGAATTCCTGGAATCGTAACTGAGCTCCAGACTGCAGAGGCCAGTTTCCCTGGAGACAATAGCTGCTTTGGAGGGCGGGCTGTGTGGCATCATATCCTACTGAGGCCCCTCCCCTTCCCAAACCCCTCCCTCCCCAGGCTCCACCCCAAAATCTCCCAGAATTTCCCAATCTGGGCTGGACAACCCCTATCCGTTGGCAAGGCCATCTCCCTGACATGTTGGCTTTCCATAGGCATGGAAACAGGCAGGTGATATTCGGACATGTGATTCCCTCTGGCT